AGAGAGAGACAGAGAGACGGAGAGAGAGGAGTGAGCGCTTGCTCTCAGTCGAAAGAGAAGGGGAGGGGTGCCATGGAAAGCCGAGGGGAGGGGCCGAAGTGAAACGGACGAAGCCGAGGCGAGCGAGCCGAGCCGAACGCGCCGTGGCGGGGAGAGCCGAAGTCCGCGGGCAGTGGGGTCACAGGCAGGCAGGCGCGGGGCGTCGCGACGCGCCGCGGGGCGGGGCGGGGCGGGGCGGGGAGCTGCGGGGCGGCTCGGATTGACGGCGGGGCGGGGCGGGGCGAGCCGAAGCCGAGCCGAGCAGTCGTCTGGTGGGGTTGGGGCGGCGTGGTCGCGTACGTCCCGCTCTGGCCCAGCAGGCCATCGCGGCACCCGTGGCGGAGGGCCCGAGTGGGCGAGTGAGTGGGTGAGAGTGAGTGAGTGGGCGAGCAGAGCGGAGTGGAGTGGCAGGTGAGTGGTTGAGGACGGGACGAGCGGCGAGTGTGCGGCCTTCACGCGATCTCCACTCGCGTTGCTCCCGTGTTTTGGTGGGCTCGGTGGCTGCCTGCGTCGGGTCGCGGCCGCGGCGCGGGCCAGCTGGGCCCGAGAGGTGGGCCGCGGCGGCCGAGGCCTATAGCCGGGGAGGGGCGGGGGAGGCCTCGCCGAGCCTCGCCTCATCATGGCTGCCCCGGCCTCGCCTCGGCCGAGGCCTCGGCGCGGGCATGACCCTGGCCCTGGCGGAGGCTGGACAATGCAACGCGCGCCCCGAGCTCCGGCTCGCCTCGGCACGTGGCTTCATTCGCATCCTTGCCGCCAAGTAGTGCGCTCTGCTCCCGTGTCCCCCCGCGGCGCGCTCGGCAAGGTGCTGGCCCTGGCCGTCAGCTGGCCGCGGGAAAACGCGGAGGGGGGGGGGGGCGTCTGCCGATCATGAGCATGCCCCCGCCTGCGCGGAACATCGGTGGCATTTCTCTCGCGAAGTTGTTAGACGTGTAGGCCCGTTAGGGGTGGCAGTGGGTGGTGGTGGGGCGGGGCACCGTGACGCGAAGGGAGAGAGAGAGAGAGTGGCCCACCGTCGCTCTCCGCGTTGAGGTTATGTCGAGAGATGCACCCACTGACTCCAGTAGGGAAGCCGAGCTGTGGGGCGAACACGTCGGGGCCGATCGATACCATAATAACCTTTACGGGCTTGCTGGCGTCTTGTCATGCGTTACCGCACGGACGCGTGCTTTTCGCGTCATCAGCCGTCGCGCGACCACCTCCCCCAGTTTAACCTTCTCTCTTTGTCGAGGACGCTCTTCGCTTCCACACCAGTTCTATCCCCGCGTCAACTCGCGTAAAGGTGCTGTTATTTTGCTGGACTGAAAATGCTGACTTGAAATAATTGTTATTGTCAGCTTGCCTTGTTCGCTGTGTCTGCTCGTCCACTCGTATAGAGTCGATATCGGGAAATGGAAGACTAATGGATTAATTATTGTTGCCCCTCGCGGATCCACCCCCGCCCCGCTGGGCCATGCCAGGGCGGGACGGGGCGGGACGGGACGGGGCAGGACCGGGGTGGTGTGGCGGGAGACTCCTCAGCTGCGTCCAGACAAGAGGGCTGCTTGGGCTGCTCGGGTTGCTGGTACGAGAGGGAAAACGTGCGCTGTCAGCCGAGCAGTGCGGATGACGCTACGCTACCCGTCACTTCCTGGCCGATAGGGCACGTTTTCATTCTCACACCATCAACGCGAGAAGCCACAGCAGGCCCCCCAGCAGCAGCCCTCTTGTCTGGACGCAGCTTTCGCCCTGGCCGCAGGGAGCCTCCCGCCCGGCGAGTAGGCAGTGCGCAGGCATGGGTGTGCGGCGGGTTTGCCTACCCGCCAGGCGTTCTCCAGCAGCAGCAGGGAGCTGCCACCGCCAGCGACCTCCCGTCAGTGTTCCGGATCGGTCGGGTTCAGACCTCGCACCCAACCCAGCGAGTCGGCGTGCGAGTGAGACAGCGTCTTCTGTCTCTCTCGTACTGCGGGCGGCTAAGGCACACTGAGAAAAATGTTTGGTCACCAAGGCCGAAAAATTTGGTTGCTGTAAGTAAAAGGGTGTTCAATCTGCCCTCTGAGTCATAACCATAGAACGTTCTATCGTGCTGGCTGAGAGTTCAGACGCTCCAACCCCTCCAACCAAACACTCCAGCCAGCACAATAGACGTTCTATGATTATGACTCAGGGGGCAGATTGAACACCATTTTGGTTACAGCAACCAAAAGCAGTATTTTTCTCCGTGCAGCCGAATGGGGTAGGGTCAGGTCGGGTTGGCTCTCGGAGCGCGTCGGGTTTGTCAGCGACGCGCACATGCGCTCACCCGACCGATCCGCCGGAACACTGCCTCCCATCCGGATGACAATCCCCTTTGGACTTTCGCTGCGTTTTCTGCTGTCCCACCTCGCGGTCTGCCGCCCGCCACAGCCGGCCCGGCGGCGCGCGAGCGGGACGGCCAGGACTCGTAATCACTGCAGTGTCGTAAAAGCGCCCTGTACACTGACGGGCGGGCATACACACAGACAGACCTGCTGCCGAGATTAAACCTTTCAAGCCGACGAAATTCGTTCGAAACAGGAGTCGCGCAAAAACGAAAGCACCCTTTTCTATCTTCTTCTTTTCGAGTACAACGACAGGTCGCTGTTATTGTTTGCCATGATGTTGTTGTTGGGCTCTTTTCGCCTTTCACCGCACCGCACACAGAGCCGCTGCCGGCACCGACGAGCCAAGCCGAGCCGAGCCGAGCCGAGTCAAGCCAAGCCGAGCCGCGAGAATTATTCACCGGCCATTCGTATTGGATGAGACCTTGCCTTGCATCCTCTGCCGCTCCGCTGGCGACACCCCCTCCTCCCTCTCCCCTCACCTCATCTCCCGCAGGTGTCGCTCTGCGCACGCCCTCTTGATCCGTGAGGAGGAATCATAAGGAGAGGGAGGGAGGAAGAGTGTTGGAGAGAGAGAGAGAGAGAGAGAGAGAGAGAGAGAGAGAGAGAGAGAGAGAGAGAGAGAGAGAGAGAGAGGGAGAGGGAGGGAGGTGTCTCGTCTCTACCAGCGGGTACACGTACACTTGTATCACTGGGTAAAAAGATAGTATAGTGAATTAATGAGACAGGTGATATACTCGTTAAATTTGTTATTTGTTTTGTTGGGCAGGATGTGGGCTCCCGGCGGCCCGGCGGGCCCGGCGGCGCAGGACTAGCGGGCCTCCACAATGGGCAGCAGCTGCTCGTCCGGCCAGAAGCATAAGGACAAGGACAGCGCCTCCACGCGCTCCGAGGAGTAAGTACCAAGTCTGAAAACTTTTGTTTTAAAATATTTCTGCCAATTCGAAAAAAATTACGAAGTCTCCGCGCTGCGAGAGCGCTCGGATCAGTATTCAAGGGCTTTCCCCCCACCTCTCTCTCCCCGGTCCCTCCGGGCGGGGGGGAGACCCCTCGGGTGCGCGGACGGCACGGTCCCGTCCCGTCGCGGGACCGCCGCACGACGCGACGGGACGGAGGCAGCATCACTAAGACTGCAGGGTGACGTCAGCGAGCGTCAGCCGGCGTCAGCGCGTCAGCGCCTGGTGCTA